ATAAAATTTCAGAATAAATAAGTCAGTAAGTGACATAACCAAAATGTAGTCTAAGAAGAATGAATAGTTTAGCTTGTCCAGAAGATGGAATAGGCTACATGGTCTTAACATAACTCATGACTTCACACTACCTCTTCTTGAAGACTAGCATGATGAACGTAACTCTTTTTTGCCTCGTAAAGTTTGAGATATGATATTTGAAAAGGTTGAATCCCGACTCATCGTTAACCATTCAATTTCATAGCACTGTGAGGATCTTTTGTAGCTCGAGTGTGTCGTTTTTGTTTGCTATTAGCTTTTATATCTTGAGCGAATTTTGTCTATAAGTTCGTCAATGAAAATCAAAAGCATGGGTGATCCTAAAACAGTTCACCATGAAACACTTGATGTGGAGTCCATTCAGTTTACGTGCACTGTAATTAACATGGTGTGGAGAAGAGAAGTGAATCAGTGAGATCCCTATTTATAACCTTTATTTATAGGAGTTTGTGTTGTAGAGTCGACTCCGGAAGGATACCACGTGTGTAGAATCCAAACTACGGTTTGGATGTTGAAGAATAGCCGTCCAGATACGTTAGACACGCTCCCTTGCCCGTCAAAATCCAAACAAGTAATCGGGTAAATAGCGGTTCTATACTTCATCATAAATTTAAATGTAAATCGTTACCTAAACAAATATTACCACCCGGCTATTCAACCAATAATTGCTCAATCAATAAATTCTAAATTACAGTAAATAAAGGAGTTGATAAAAGATGAGGGGAAATTACCAGTCACAACAAATGAACGTTATTCTATCCTGAATGGATAGAACACACACACACAAAAGGAGAAGCAAATCAATATGGCTACCGCCAAGAACAAGTGTCCAGTAAAACAACACAGATGCAGTTCGGGAAGAAACACAAACTTAGTGAATGCGTAAGAAAAACAAAAACTATAATAAAAATACAAGTATTAACAATTCAAATGTAATCAAAAGACAACAATGTACAACTAAGAGGATCAATGGGAACAAAGTACAAGTATATACATGGAAGGATTTTCACCAACACACAAACATTCAAAATGGATCTTACAACGTGAACTGGTATTTTTTGGCTCCAGCAAGTTGTCAAGTCATCCAGTGATCAAACTCTAAAAGTTCAGTACTTACCTATTTTAAATTTAGGTTCAGATACACACCCAAAGTGTTTTCAATTATATATTCTCATATCTGTTCATTAACTACCCCAGTCATAACAATTGACAGAGAAGCCTGTTTTTAGTATTTCGAGAGCTGCAAAGATTCGGTTTAGCATCTAAACAGGCCATATGATAGTAAAATGATGGCCTCAAGCACTTTCTCAGGGTTATAAGTTGGCTATCCTCACATCCTAATGGCTTTCAATGTTCGCAGGGTTTTCCGTTTCCCTGATTCTATCCCAGAAGTTAGACTAATGTTTGTGGAGTATTTAATACAAACATGTTAAGTGCACACAGCTATATACTCATTTTTAAATACGACATCTTGCTGAGCATGTGACTGTCAAATACATCAATTCAATTCTAGAGGTTTACTTGTGCTCAGTTTTTTGACTACTTGGAATACCCTATATGTTAATTAAATTACCTAAACAAATATTCGGGAAACTTTGTACTGCAGCTATCTCTCGCTTCATTTGCCCTCGTCCATCTAGTACAAAACAAACGAATACGCAAGCTTCTTAGACCTCAAAGAAGATATGTATTTCTCGTTTATAATAGATTGACTTAAATGTGTAGTGAAAGATATCTACCACTTTTAGGTCAGTTAGACCTCCATGATTAGGCTCCTTGAGAGCGCAAACCCTCCGGTTTGTAGTTTTCCGTTTGGGTCAGGAATCACTGACGATATTTCGTACTATCTTGTAATTTGATAGCCAAGTTTGTCATGAAATACCTTTGAACTCAGGACTATGACTCCCATATACTAATGAATTTATGTTGATGGGTTTATAATCACACCCTAACACGTTTCGCTCGCCATAATGTGACTCTGATCCGTATGACCTTACACCGGTGTTACATGACTTTTCTTCTGATTATTCAAACTTTGTAGCTAGTGTGCACTGTTTTGCAAGAATCTATGGAGAGAAAATCTAGTCCTTCCGACAAATGTGGTACAGACCATGAAAACCGAAAAGGTACATAAAGTGACCACGCCCGTATAGCTATTTCGTGCAGATAATGATCCTGCATCGGCTTTTGTTGACTCACCGTTTTTCACACAGAATCCAACTTCTAAAAGAAAATGTTCTGAGGTGGGATACACTTTATGTAAGGGACCGTATGTCTATGGTCTCTTATTCCACTCTCACATCAATCTCAATAACACGGTTGGCTGATGAAGTTTGTTCGTCAACCGCTTTATTTGAAGCGAAGCGAGAACCATGATAACCTGTTGTGAAAACTGATGCAAGACGAGATATTGTAACAAGTTTTCATCGAAAGTTCATTGACATATGACTTCCATCATCCGTAGCTACATTCTTGTTGCAAAACAATTCCCAGGATTACTCAAGGTTCAAATTTCATTTATAACAGGTTTATTATATAAGTGTTGTCCACTAGTCGATGTTTTTCTCAGTTCCAGGGCATAAGTCTTCCGTCATATAAAAAACGCATAGTTTCAAATAATCTGTCTCTTGTTTATTTAGGAGAAAGATAAATAAGAGAACGTTACCTCCAAACTTATGTAACTTTTAGTCTCTGTATCCTGTGCGTCTTCTGGTGAAACGTTAGATACGCGATCACATGAAAATTCAAGACACAAAGTTTGGGTTGGGCATTGTTCTGGCTATAAGGATTACAATTATGAATTGTACAGAATGCTCAGATGAATGGCTCCACTTATTCCTGTTACCTCTCATGGAGGAGTATAGACCGCTCACCAGAATTCTCCACCTAAGTCTATCTTGAGCCCTCCTTCTCAGTTGTTTTCAGTTTCTATTCGTTCCTTTGATGTCCGTCTCCAATCTCCGGCACAATGTGTTCTTTTGTCTGTCACTTCTTTTCTCCTAGAGAACTTTAAGTTACGTCTTGCTTTTCCATCCAGTTTGGTGATTTCCACAGTGCATATACTATCCATCCCCAGTGAATTTTTCGGCACAGTAGGTTGCTGCATATAGCAGACGGCTGTACGAGGTTATGCAGCCCGAAAAGTTATTCGACAAAATGTTCAGCGCACACATATCTGAAATACGTCAGGTAAGTAAATTGTTAATGAGCTGAAAAATATTTACCAGTCGTGGAGTGAATAGTGTTCATGATAATCAAGGAACTCCCATAGTACGTGCTTCAGTCGAATCCACTCACCATATAAGCAACGAACGTTTCTAACAGCAACACATGTTTCCATCAACCAGAAAAGGTGATTTATATCCTTTATCCAAATAAATCAGTCATACAGCAACAATCGAAAATACGGTCACGCAACGTAGCAACCACCGAAATACAGTGACAGAGAAAAAGGTCAGGAAAGGTAGTGCAAAACTACATCAGGACGAGTAGCAGACTAAAAGATAAAAGTAAAACAAAAGTGTATTATTCTACTTGCATAACAACTAAAAATAGATAAATTTACAATGATGAATACATCAGGATTGTTAGCCCTACTTTTAGGTAAAATAACGAGCATTCGTCAGATCGCACCACAAGCGGACGGATCTAACTGATTGCTAAGACAAGTAGTGGGAACGTTTGATGAACCACCATTCAAGTATTGGCGTGGGGGTAATCTCACTATTTTCATAAATAATACACAACAAGTATCTCACAGAAAATAGCTTGACAAATGCTAGGTTTCCTTTGGAGTTTTCCGAAATTTTTTATGGTATTACTTTGTGAGCCGTCGTTTTATTTTGAAAATACCACGTCAAACTCCATAATCAGTCCTTTTTTTATAATTTCGTCAGTGTGTATATTCTACGTTCGCCTTAGTCAGTTGGTATGGAGACGACTTATTGCGTTACTTAATTCTACAAGTTGGTTATTCAGCAGGGAAAACTACGCGCAACTAAAGTTTTGTTCATTTCTGACTTTTAAACATGTCTAATATGTTCTCTGATGAATTATATTGAGACAAAAGTCATTTCTGAGAACTATTCGCGCTTAAATCAACTCCTAATTCTTTACAAAAATAAACAGAGTTTACCTAGCTTTTCAAACCACCAAAAATGATAACCCACCAATTTCCGAAATCATATAGATATTTCCCTGTGTAATTTTTCTGTAAAACTCGAATCGTCTTTTTAACAATGCCTGGTGGTTTATGTAAAATTTCTCTTTTAGAAAGTCACTAGATCTATGTAAACTGGCGAATGCATATTTATATCTACTTGGGTTAACATTTACCCCATCGACTATGCAGTTCTAATACATCTGGTCTCAATCAAAAGACATTTAGCCGTGGTCTTAATGTAATGACATATACTACCCCCAGAGAACTGTAGAAAAAGTCTAATAGCACTTGTCGATTAGCAACGTTGATGATCTCTGTCAAATGATTAGGGGCCGTATAACACAGTCTAATGATAAGTTGTGGTTTATTCATACAAAGCATATAAATTGAAGGACCAAGAACGGAACTCAGTACTGGTCTCCGCAATGATCGTTTAAAATTTACTGCTTATGATTGTTGATGAAAACATACATATACCATTAATAACTATCTGGTTCAATTGAGGAAAAACAGATCAGCTAACCTCAATATTTAAAAAGTCGTCAAAACGATGCTTCACCACTTAAACATTTTTTCGACAAAGGTTGAATCAGATTCATTGACATAATTAAGCTGTACATAGGAAACCAATTGCAATAACATGTATGTAAATCTACGTTATATCTGTGTCAATGCATCAAAAGCACTACTGTAAAAACATTGTATATTCATGTGTTTGTTCGTCCTCATGTCAATAATGCGCACCACAATTAACTTCGACGTGACGGCGCGAATCAGTAGAGCAAGTCGTGCTTGAAGAATGACGAATGTTCCGAAAATATCTCTCAAGCGGAAGGTTCGTTTGTTTCTCCATGTCTTTATTTACCGATAAAGTTTATAAAAGCTGGAGTGTTTAAGGCTGAATTAGATGAGTTCCTTAAACGTGAATTGGCTGACGATGGTTACAGTGGTTTTCAAGTTCGTGAAAGCCGTAAATACACAGAAGTTATCATATTAGCTACAAAAACCCAGAGTGTCCTTGGTGAGGGCTCACGCCGTATCCGAGAGCTCACCTCAGTCTTGCAAAAGCGCTTCGGATTTCCTGACGGTACCTTGGGACTGTTTGCTGAAAAGATGACTTTCCGTGGTTTAAGTGCTATTGCACAGGCGGAATCGCTTAGATACAAACTGACATACGGGTTGCCTGTACGGAAGTAAGTGTGGATCTTTACACAGACTTTTGTAGAGCATGCTATGGTATACTCCGATTCATCATGGAATCTGGAGCGAGAGGTGCTGAAGTGATCGTTTCTGGTAAAATTAAGGGTCAGAGAGCTAAAGCTATGAAGTTTTGTGATGGACTCATGATCCATTCTGGAGATCCAGTTAACAATTACATTGACAAGGCAGTACGTCATGTTCAGCTTCCACAAGGTAAGTCTTAAAAGTAGTATTAGCTGTTAAGTAGACGAGAAGAGGTCTTACTGATTCATGTTTTCCTTTAGGTATACTAGGAATCAAAGTCAAAATTATGTTGGATCACGATAGTTCCGGCAAAAAAGGTCCACGGAAACCTTTGCCTGACACCGTCACAATTTTGGCCGCTAAAGAAGAAGTTTTGCCAACTGCTCCATATTCTGAAAACAAAATGTAATTAATTTCACAATAAAGCTTGTAGTGGATGCTTTCGCTGTTCTGTAACATTCGCTAGTCGTCTCATCCAATTTCACATCCGAATATTTTAAGGTGTTACTGTTTATTGTAAAAATGCTCAGCTGATAAACTTTTGTTTATTGTCTTTATTTAATGCCCAACGAAAGCATATGAAATTCCACCGAATGATGCCGTGAATATTCACACACGTATGTATATAAACATTATACAAGATTAACATATTTGTTTTTTTCAATCAGCTTGGAGAATGTGTCTCAAATTGTTAGGTTTGTCCTTAGTAGATTATGTTCATGCGATATGTATCAGTTCCTGTATCTAGGACGTATAACTCAGTGTTAAAACAAGTGCGAATGGACGGCCATGCGTAATGTATTATGTTCCAGGTTGTTATTCGCAACATATGACTGTAAAACAATGGCTTACTATTTATCGTACATTAGTTACTACTGTCCATTTAAAGGTCGATTCGCCGTGCAGCTTTCTTGTATTTGCCAACTTCTACTCATTATTTAGAACTATTGCTTTTTGTTATGTATAAGTGCTAATATATAAGGTATTGATGGACACAGAACTACAAGTATATTATATCTACTCATGAAGTGTGCTGTTGGTAGACTAACATTTTGTAGTGTGTATGCTATCGTGCAGAAACAACCCTGTGTTCTCTTGTTTAACTGGTCATGGTCACTAAAGACCATATCTTCACTTTGAATCTCTTACTACACATGAGGCGGATTTTATATTTATTTGATGAAACTATCGGTCGGTTATATTTTATTACGAAGTGATGTGATGTTAGCTTCATTTCAGCAGTATTTTATGAGGTTGAAAAAAAAACAAATTATATGCTTTATGTTGTTCATTAGTTACCAAAGTCCTGTAAGTATATGCCACTCTTATCACCAAAGAACTTGTTAGTACATTCGTGTAAACTTTTCTTAACGCTTGATAATGTCGAGTATTAGTGATCTATTATCAGTGAGGATTTCAAACCATTTTGTTTATAGTTAAAATGCGCTTCACATGCATGTTACTCTACAATCAGTGGCTAACATAGATGTGGGCATCGATTACAACCTACTAATCTGTAAGCAAGTGTTCGTATCATCAGTCAGACCATACAATTCGAGTCGAACAGTTAGAGCATTTCCTTTATTCTGCAAAGATTACCCATACTTTGTCCAAAATTACCGGATGTGTCGAGAAGTAACTTACCCTCTCGGAGTTGCAATTTGGATCATCAGGATTCTTTGGAATCGAAGGCTTGCCCGCTAGTATAAACAGATAAGATGTGAGGCACCATAAACCTGGCCTGACTGATAGGTCTAGTCGTAAACTGCAGTTAACTGACTCCTAAGTAAAGTGCAATAGATCACGAGACAACATGTGTAAATTACGATTGATTGTCCCCTATCGATGGGATAATTTTGAGTTCATCCTCAAAAATATATAGTTCTATGAATCGAAGTACGGTTTGATTTACTTCTAATTGCTTGACCGAAAGAAGGTTATGGGATCTCGTGTTACTTGGTGCACTCAGGTTTGTTATTTGTCGTTTAGACCCATCAGAAGTCTTTCTCGATAGAACCACAGCTCTTGAGAATTAACAGTTTTGGGCTAGTGTGGTAATGAGCATCTCGTGGTTGTATGTGGTAGAATCCTGTGATTTGCATATTCGTCCTACTTAATTCTGAATAGTTCCCTGAGTGGTAGCGTAACGGAATTAGTGCATTGGTTGCTGTTACTACTTATCCTATTACTTAGTGTAAATAAACTACATTTCAGTCTGTAATTTGTTCCTACAGTTCGTAAGCAAAACGTTGAAAAGTTACGAACCAAAATCTGTACAAATACTTCATAAAGGTTATAGAAGATCGTCGGTTAGCTGGTTGCAATTGCTGATTTCATTAAACCCAGATATGATATTCGTTAGCTGGGACAGTATTTCCGTTTCTGTTTTCATGTGTCCATTATGCTGAATAGAGGTGTCCAAATTCTAATTTACATGAATCCAAGGAGGCTCACTTTCGGATGTTTTTTGTCGAGAAAGTATTTCTGTCCGACAAGGTGCTATCGACGTAAAATATTCACTCTTAGTCCTCAAGCGTGGAGTCATACCAAATTAAGTCGGTGTGGTATCTTAATTTACCACATCGGCGAACACAATAGCTAACTAAAGTAGGTCAATTTTAAGTTTATTGGTACCTTACCAGTTATAAATATCACATTAGTTTTGTTAGTCAGTAAGGACATTATTAAGTATAATGCTATTTATTTTCATAAATTATATTGCTGACTTTAATTTCTTAAGTCAGTATCATGGAGTTCACTCTTCACCTGTAGTAATTATTAAGTTGGTAACTAGTGCCAATGTAATATATTAGGTGTATTGATTGCTAAAAGTGTTGAAGTATACATTCGTCCTTTAAACTTATCTCAACCAAATATAGTTGGAAATCATTGCTTTATTATTTATTACTACCATAGAGAGTATTATTTGAAAGGTTTGAAGACTATCATATACATCACAATAATAACTCAGTTCATCCCCATGTATGTGGTTTTGTCGGGTTGTTGATGAATCATTGTGTTATTTGCAACTTAGATTTTTTCAAGAATAGGCTGGACGAGTTAATTAGCTTTTTTTTATTCGGCTTTTATTTGGAATACTATTTATGCTTATACTCGTTTACTCTTCGTTCATTGTCGTAAGATTCGGGGTAGTGTGGCTCAAAATCGGTCACTGACGCAGGTTCATCCACTCCTGGTATTTTCTAAGCACCGAGTAACATAATCTTCCGTTACCTGATTTTTTCTATACCCACTCTTTTCTACTATAGAATTTATCTAGCTATCCTGATGTGATGTAGCAACTTGAACTGACACACAAGTGTCAGACTCTAAGTTTCGCATAATTAAACTGACTTCGTTCTCACAACCTGAAGTCTGTTTGTCATTACTTAAAAGTGGTCAATTGAAGGTAATCAATCCTTAAAAGAATCTTTTATACCTAGTGTTATAACTGTGAAAATGATGCTGCGGATTAAGGGTAGGAATTATTGATCGGACCAAAGACGCACAAAAACGTAGAACGACCTAGGGTTCTGATTGGTCCAGCTTCCCTGTCTAGCCCAGCCGATTGAGTCCAGAACACAAGTCACAGCTTCTGGGTCATGAATCATTATATTTCAAACATACTTTGTTTATATACCAGTCAAGCAGACCACAACGTCCCATAAAATAGAAAATAACATTGTACAATAATGGCCAGTAGGAAAATGACACGTTAAACAAATATTGACCAATAAGATGATACCATTTCATGTCCAAGGATAGCATTAGCCTTAACAGGATAATTTTTGGGATATTTTCCTGAATATCCCAACACCTAGTCAGTGTCCTGCTACACTATTCTGTAATTATTCACAACAACCTCATTCATGTCTATTGGCACTGTCAGTATGAAGATGACAAGTGCATTGAGTACATATTCGACGACTGGAAGTAGATAAAAGAAACCCCCAAATTTTCATGCTACTTGGCCCTCTTCACAAGGCTCAATTGTAACCTTGAGGGTAGTGATACTTTTTAGTGGGTTTGAATTCGCATCATCCTGCTTCACAGTTTGAGGCGTTACTACCGAGGTATTCGGGTCTCAAATAAATTGTAAGGTCGAGATATTTATAATTGACTAACCACGAAGTAGTGAATGATCAAAGTCATGTCTAATTCTTACAATTTGCAAGTCGACAGAATTTTATCAACACTAAAGGATTATTCAAATGTAATATTAGTCACTACTCAGTGATAAATCAGTTGTATATGTCGAGTACATATTGTAAATTAATGCTACCCAATCCATCAATTAATGTGAAGCTTCTATCTAGTTAAACATTTTTGTATTATAATCTCTCATTGATGAATATTATTTTTTTAAACTGTCAGTTGTAGATATTAAGTTTCTGTTTTATATTATATGACATACTGTCAATATTAATCCGCCGTCAGTAGAAAGATCGGCGTAAGAACAGGATACGTTATAAGTATATTGTCTAATACTATTTAATAACTCTCGAAATCCATTCAATTTGTGGCTGACTAGTTTGGTCATCGGCGTTTACTACTAATGAGTAATATATTTCATTTTACTAAATAAATAAGCCATTTGAAGTTATAAAAGGCAACGCAAATGTTATTAAGTTGTACTTACACGTATCTCAGTTGTGTAGAAATTACTTTCGTACAAATTCTCACCAGTATGTCAAATACACATACATTAATAATTACTAGAGTTGAAATTATGTTTGAACTTCATATCAAAATATACCTTAATTTCAGAAATATTTGATGTATTTTATTACAATTATTTTATTTTTTGTATATATGAACAACTCCCAGGTTGTGATGATGATAATACATTCTTATAGCCCGACTTTTTTTGTCCCTGACCTCCATAAAAAAAGCCTCTTACCATTCCCCGGTTCAGAAGGAAGATTCACAATTATTTAGGATGCTATAGTAAAGTAATAATTGTACGTTTAGTGTCTGGCAGGGTCCCTGTTGAGTTAGCTGACTTGTATGTTTTTGCACTTCACAGACTTTGTATTAAACTGAAGTATTTACTTCCAATTCTGTAGCTTAGAGAGAGCTTGTATGATAATTCATCAATGCGAAACCGACTATTAATCTAACGAGAGTGGTTATTGTATTTATTCTCATTGCGTTCATGTGTATCACCCTTCAATGACAAATCAGAAAGCAGCTATGTACGTTATTTTATTATGTATTATATAGCAACACTTTTACACCGTACTCTTATTTTTTCCTTAAATTTACACGTTTTCATATGTATATTTCACTAAAACCATCCGCATATTTTCCCTCAGTATTTGTTTTATGGGCGAATCAGATGATAAAAATCCCCATAATATTAAAATTAACATAGATGGTCTAGATATAAATTTCGACACTACCAATCAT